GGTTCAATGGGGAGGGAGAGTGAACCCAGGGGCAGAGTTTAGGATTGGGAAGCAGGAAATCTGTACTCCATTCTCAGCTCTCCCATCAACTTGAACTTGAATGAATCATTTCACTTCTTTGTGCCTTAATATTCCTATCTGTAAAAGGGGACTAATTATACTTACACAGCCTTGTGAAGAGCTCTGAGATTAGATGGCTAAATATTAGTGTTAATTATGCTCTCAATTACACTAGTGAAAATGAAGAGTAACCAGATCAGATTACTGACCCTCTAACCCATTGTCCCCATTCCTACCGTAGAACATCAGACTACTGGTCTATATATGGCTGTGTCCTGCCTCCTGACCATATTGGATCAGCACTGTCGTCTTTTTAGTGCAGGATCCCTCTTCAGACAGTGGCCAGTGGTGGCTGCTTCAGAGTAAGATGGAAAACCTTGGTAATACACCTCACTGTGCAGTACCGTGGGGCAAATTTCTTCTTGGCCTACGGCTTCTTATCAACTTGTGTTATTCTCCGACAATCCTGATGCACGAAAACTGATATCCCTGACCATGTGAATCCTAGCTGGTGTCACTAGTGTTGCTATTACTCTTAGTCATATACAAACACAATTTTTTTCCCTGTGAATCTGACTTAGCTACTGCATCTATAATGTCTTGGGGCAGTGAGTTCCACAGGCTGATTCCATATTGAAGTGGATATAGGCAGGGCTCTAGGGGTTGCTTCAACACAATCATTACATCTGGGCTTCCCATACATTCTGGGATTGGAGGTGGGGGAATAAATATGTCCATCCATCCATCCCACCCCTGTAAGGGGCGCAGAAGTCTTTAGAAAGCAGACAGTTTGAGATCACAATAGGGCAATAGAGATGTTTTTTCAATGGCTTTGAAAAAGGTTCTAAAAAGATGATGACGCTGGGAGTGGCGTGCGGAAGAGAATAATTGGTTGCGAGCAGAGACAGGTCTAAGTTTGGGTCTGAACGTGGCTGAAGTTTGTGAGGATGGGTTATTAGATCTAGGGTTTAGGATCAGGCCTATCACTAACTGTAAACAAAGTGCCATAGTTTAGAATAAGGTCTAACATATTATGTCCTCTCTCCCCTTGCCACATCCTGCACCCCTAATGTCTAAAAAAGAGCATCCATTTGGGATAGCTGCAGTGATGGATGCATCCCATTTCGTTCGCTTCTCCAATCATTTGTATCCCATCATCGCTCATGGCCCAGTGGAGACAATCCGGAAGTATTTCCCTGAGACGTGGATTTGGGATTTAGTTCCAGTGAAGTAAGTGATGTTTATGGGATGTGGTGAGTGTGGTCAACTGGGTTACACAGACACTCAGAAAAAGTTGCTCAGACACCTATGAGATGTGCTTATATCCTTCTGTGATAGCTGGAGTACCTTTTGTGGATAGATTAGAGAGAGACAAGCATGAGGGATGGATAGGCAGGTAGAGGAAAGGCGGGAAGTAACTAGTTCTACTAATACACCACATCCACTCCTTCTCCTCTCAGTAACTGGGAGACAATTAATTGTGTGGATCACAATGGACAGTCCCCTGTTAAAAGAGAGAGAGAGAGTGTGTGTGTGTGTGTGTGTGTGTGTGTGTGATGTAATTTCTCTTTGGTCTCAGCTCTGGTGCAGAAGTCGCTACTAGCTATGCATTTCATCCTTTTCTATAGCTGTGTGTCTGAGGGATTTTCTGTTGTTCACCGTGGAACCCCACCCCCAGTCTTGTTACTTGGATGATTCTTCTGCGGAGCTGGATGTAGGATGGGATGGGAGGAAGTGGTCTGTGGTGAGCCTACAATAGCCAAGCAGCAGGCACACCCCCAGTGCTCCTAAGGGACCCTGCAGTTACAAAAGGGGGGGTGTGTTAATTCAGGATGCTGTGAGGGATACAGTTGTTTTCCCCAAAGCTAGGAAAGCTCCCCAGATCTCCTTGTTCTTGTTTTGTCACTAGGTCTGTCGGAAGTGCTGATTTGGATGTGACCATCCCCGAT